GAGAGATAGTTCGACTTCACGGGGTTTCAGACACGATCATGTCGGATCGAGGATCAGTATTCACTTTATATTTTTGGAGGAGTTTCCAGGACTCGTTTGGCAGCAGACTATCTTATAGCAGTGTATTCCACCCACAGACGGATGATCAAACAGAGAGGGTGAACCAGGTGTTAGAGGACATGTTGCGGGCTTGTGTCATTGACTTTCAGGGCAGCTGGGAGGAGCATATTCCACTGATAGAGTTCGCTTATAACAATAGTTATCAAGCGACGATCGGTATGGCCCCATATGAGGCATTGTACGGGAGACCTTGTAGATCACCGATATGTTGGGCAGAACCGAAGGATAGTTTGATGCTTGGACCGGAGCTTGTGAGGCAGACTACTGAGAAGGTAGCATTGATCAGGGAGCGGATTCTAGCCGTTCAGAGTCGGCAGAAGAGCTATGCAGATAAAAGGCGAAGACCTCTAGAGTTTCAGATTGGAGATTTGGTTATGCTGAAGGTATCGCCTATGAAAGGCGTACAGCAATTCGGGAGGCGAGAGAAGCTTGCACCGAGATATATTAGACCATTCCGGATTTTGGAGCGCATTGGAGCTGTGTCATACAGACTAGATCTTCCAGCTTCTATGTCTAGTATACACAATGTATTCCATATCTCCATGCTCAAGAAGCACTTGCATGATGAGGAGCAGCAGCGAGTGTTGGATGCACCGGAGATTGAGCTTCGGGATGATTTGACTACTATTGAGATCCCAGTGTCTATACTTGCTAGAGAAGATAAGAGACTCAGGAACAAGGTGATTCCATTGGTGAAAGTTCAATGGAACCGAAGTGGAGTTGAGAAAGTTTCTTGGGAGCGCGAGGAAGACATGCGACGCGACTACCCACACTTGTTTGAGTAGGTAAATTAATTAAAGTATTTATGATGTGACTTCTTACTTGTATATTTATATATGTACCTTGATACTTATTTTAACACTAGAATGATGATATTTTCACTTAATTCCTAATCTTTCGGAACACATGGTATATACATGGGGGGTTCCTTGTTTGGATTTTTCGCCCGACGTACTAGTTCCATTAGATTAGGGGTTGAGTAAGAATATTTTCACTTAATTCCTAATCTTTCGGAACACATGGTATATACATGGGTGGTTCCTTGTTTGGATTTTTCGCCCGACGTACTAGTTCCATTAGATTAGGGGTTGAGTAAGAATATTACCATTTTAGATCGTTAAGTATGAATATCACTATATGCTGATCTAGCGATTAATATTGCGAGATGTGTATGTGTGCGGGTTGGATTTGACCCTTGTCGTGCTTTACAAGTACCATTATGAGTTAGATATGATTTCTGAATTTTGAGGACGAAATTCATTTAAGGGGAGAAGAATGTAAGACCCCGTAGATTTTGATAATTTATATATGTGACTATTAGTGAAAAATAATATTTATTTATGATAAATATCTTTATGACATGGTTGTGCATGAAATCTAGCATTTTTGAGCTTATCAGGATGTATATATGCATCAGTTATGAGGTTGAGTTTGCAAAATTGCAAATCATAAGCATCAGAGTCGAAGAACTCAGTTTTCATCTCATGAGTCGACCTATGACTGTCATGAGTCGACTCATGATATCATCTCCCTTTGTCATAAGTCTCTGCTGAGTCGACTCATTATCTTATGAGTCGACCCATGAGTCATGAGTCGACTCATGACTGTCATGAGTCGACTCATCGGGGGTTTTCTAAGTTTTGTGGGTCGGGTTTTTTTGGGTTTCGGGTCGGGTTTTAACTGTTCACATATATTCTCCTCCACCCGAAAACACCTCTTTTCATCAGTTCTCCCCAGAGAAACCCTAGCCTCCTCTCCCATTCAAAACCCTAGTTCGTTTTTGGGTATTTTGGGATATTTTTAGGGGATTTCAGCAGTTTCTTTTGGATTGCAGCGAAGGGGATCGTTCTTCAACACATCTGAGGCGAGTAACATCTCGCCCAATCCTTCTCCCATGTTTTCAACAGTTTACAAACGTTTTTCATGAGTTTTATTGAGCCTAAGACTTATTTTCAAGTATAAATCAATGTTCTTTTTAGGGTGAATGCTAGAAATCATGCGTTTCAGATAGTTTTTGATGAAAACCCAGATCTGGAAATTTATTTAAGAATAACAAATATGAGTTTTTATTTTGATTAAATGCTTTCACTCATGTTTAGGAGTTAAAAGTTAGGTCTAACATGCTAATGTTCGTTTCTCATGCTATATATGAATTTATCTCTGCCTCATAGTCTAGAATTGATAGTGATGGAGGTGAAGATAAGTGTAGAGGAAGTATGAAACGAGATGGACGAGCTGCAGTTGTGAAACATCCTGTTTTCAGCCCGTGAGTCGACTCATGACTCATCATGAGTCGACTCATCAGGTTGAGTCGACCCATGACTGTCATGAGTCGACTCACGAAGTCAATTCCTGTTATTCATAAGTGTCTGCTGAGTCGACTCGTCAGTATATGAGTCGACCCATGAGTCATAAGTTGACTCATAGCTGATCATGAGTCGACTCATCGGAGTTTTTCCTATTTTGTTTGTATTCTTGCTTGATCACCTACTGTGCTTATACTTTCATATAGTGTACATATATGATCGAGGGTTCTGTTGAGCTTTTGTTGAACATGAGAATGTTACCTTGTTTATCGGGTATTAAATTGCAGTATTTATGATTTTATCTACACATGTAAAATGACTTTTCTGACACAAGCTTAGATCTGTACAGCGAGGCATGCACAAGAGTAGAATATGTATACCTTTACTTCTAGTATTCCAACACAGTCCTCGTGTTGGACTATAATCCATTAAAGTCCTCGTGTTGGACTATAATCCATTAAAGTCCTCGTGTTGGACAATAATCCATTACAATCTTATATTGGATAATTGCTAAACCTTGAGTATGTTTCTTAACCGAGTTTGGAACACGACATATCATATGAGGCTAGGACACGATAGCTACCTAGGTTGGATATGTCTCTTATTGTAATCTTTGGCATGTTTACGTTTATCAGTAGAGATGTATTTGTTTTCTTTTCTTTATCGTTTCCTGTATTAGACTTCGGGTTTGGTGTTTAGAGAATTATAATTTGAGATACAAGGTATATACATGAGGGTTTCCTTGTTTGGATTATTTCACTCGACGTACCTACGCTCGTGTTGTAATTTTCTAAGTACCGAAACCCATTATTGTTAGGATAAATGATCTTATATTATTATGTATTATCTGTATTTTCATATACAACAAGCCATTTCCCTTGGGGTTGGTTGTGATGTTGCTCGCTAGCGCTTTGACGCTCGTTGTCCCTCCCCCTTTCAGGTAACGAGCCAGGAGCCCGGAGAGTCGCAGGTTGATGGCGATGCACTTTAGCTTTAGCCGTCTATTTAGTTATATTTTCTTTGAGCTCCACTATAGACTTTTGTGTAGACATTTGAGAGTTTTATTCTAGAAGTTGTAAAGGCTATGTGCCTTATTTCCTCTTGTCAGACATTTTGTATTTGAGACTTGTTGAGAACTCCAGTTCATTTATTTCAGACATTTACTTGTATTTTAGTATATTAGATGATAAAATATTAATTTGATCTCTATTATTTCATCAGTTGATTCTTGTATTATCTCTTACTTGCTTTTGTACCTACACCTGTTATTGACTCTACTAGAGAGATAGTAATTGTGATGGTGAAACATGTTATTACATGGTATGATGCATGGCAGGTTTGATATTTCTAGGTTTACCTCGGACTGCACCCTTGTGTGAACCCAGGGGTGTCACATCGGTCGACCGACCATGGTATATCGGTCGACCAAAAGTACTGTAACATTAAAATTTTCAGACTCTGGGGTTTTGGGATTTTGTTGGTTTTGGTGATTTTCTTGGGTTTTAGGCTATTGTTTTAAGTGCCTATATATATATATCTTCCAGCCCCCATTTTTTTAGTAACCAAGCAAGCAAGAAAAATTCTTTGAGTTTGCATTTGTTATGTATTTTGAGCTTAAACTCTCATTCTTCTCAATTCGGATTTACACTTTCAATACCTATAACCCCAAGCTTCATTTACAATCTCTTAATCCTTGCCATAGGGGTGTTGTAAGGGAGATTTTTCCATCTTATTCTACTATGTGGAAAGCTTGATCTCGAGGAGATCAAATTGTGCGGTTGTGAGATCTTAGGGGAGATCGTTGTGAAGAAGTTCAGGTTTCCAAACCGGGTGTGTTTAGTGGATTACCATCCGGAGAGGAGGTTGGGGACGTAGGTCGTGAGGACCGAACCTCGTGAACACATCGACGTGTAATTTGGCTAACTATTCTCTTACTCTTTCTCTTATTTATTGCCATATTTATTATTTGTGTTTGTTATTGCATTGAATTTCATATTGCACATTTATTATTTGATTATCCTATTCACCCCCTCTAGGGTAATTTTATTTGGTATCAAAGCGAGGTCTCTACATTTAATTAGGTCTAACCGTCTTAGAGTAAAGATCCAAATGGATTCAAACATGAATGTGCTTATGCTTGAAGGTCAATCAACTACTAGACCCCCTTTATTTACCGGCAGTAATTTCCCATATTGGAAAGCTAGGATGAGAATTTATTTGCGATGTATTGATCTTGACATCCTGTAAATAGTAGAGAAGAAATATGTTGAAAAGCCTAGCAAAGACATGACCGAGAATAAACGGCATTTGGCTAACCTTAATGTTAAAGCCATGAACGCCTTGATCCGTGGACTCACTTCGAATAAGTATAATAGAGTCTCTACGTGTGCAACCGCACACAAAATTTAGGAGAAACTATATATCACTCATGAAGGAACCCCTCAAGTCAAGGAGTCCAAAATTAGTAGCCTCATGCATGTATTTGAGTTATTTAAGATGCTTCCAAATGAGTCAATTGATGCCATGTTTTGTCAATTTACTAATATTGTTAATGAATTACATGGCATTGAGAAGGTATTGGAGAACCAAGAGAAGAACTACAAAATCATTCGCTCTCTAACGTCAACATGGGAGCCCAAAGCTACGACTATTGAGGAAGCCAATGATCTTACGACACTTACACTTGATGGCCTTACTGGCAAACTCAAAGTTCACGAGAAGAAGATCAAGGAGAAGGAGGAAGAATCCCAACGAACAAATGAAGAGCCTTCTCAAAAGATGAAGACTATTACATGCTCAAAGGAGTAATTGATAATAACTCCTCCTCCTCGGATAGTGATTTTGATATCTCTAGAGAAGTGTCTCACCTCTCTAGGAGAATATCAAGATTAATAAAAATGAATAAAAGTTTTAAAAATTATTCTAACAAATTCTCCTCTCGTGTAGGTAAATGCTTTGAGTGCAATGAACCGGGACATATAGCAAAGAATTATCCCAAGATAAAAGAAAAATACATGAAGTACAAGAAGAAGAAGGCGATGTATGTGGAATGGGAGGAATCTGAACCAAGTGAATCGGATAGTGACGAAGAAGCCACCAATATTTCTCTTCATGATCCAAACATATGCTTCATGGCTCATGAAGATGAGGTACAATCCGATACTGATGATGAATCATTTTTTATACAATGTGAACTAGAATTTAACAAATTAAGAAAAGAACATTCTTCTTTCAAGAAGTTGTATAATTCATGTGACTCAAAATTTGAGCAACTACAATCCTCACTAAATGATGCCATTACCTTAAAAGATAAGATAGTTGAGGATCTTGATTTTTAAAATAAACAATTAAGATCTAAAATTAAAAAATTAAAAAATGAAAATAAAATGTTAAGAAATAATCATGCTTTTACTAGTCATAATCATCATCATATTAGAAGAACATGGTATCATAGATCTCATGCCCCACCTACAAGAAAGATTTCATTTGCATATATTGTAACAAATATGGCCATACTTCCACACATTGTAGGATTAGAGATAATATTTATTATTATGGGTTGATGTGGGTACCTAAGGGTACCAAGAGTACTAACATCCAAGGACCCAAGATTTGGGTACCTAAAGCTTCTACCACTTGTTTACATGTAGGGAATGTCTCGCACAAAATATAGAGAGATGTGGTACCTTGATAGTGATTGCTCTCATCACATGACGGGCAATAAGGATTTATTTGCAACCCTATCAAGGATGGAAGGAGGAAATGTCTCCTTTGGCGGCGGTGAGAGAGGTAAAATTGTAGGTATTAGTGTTAATGGTAAGAAGCCTTCTCCCATTATTAAAGATGTTTATTTAGTAAAAGTGCTTAATCACAATCTTCTTAGCAGTAGTCAACTTAGTGACAAAGGCTATGATATTACTTTTAAACCGGATAAATACATTGTTAGTCTAAATGACAAAACCATTTTTGTTGCCCTTAGAAAATCTAATGTGTATATTTTTGAGATGAATGAGCTTATAGATCAAGATGTGAAATGCCTTGTCGCGGTAGATGGGGATCCTTGGATTTGGCACAAAAGACTTAGACATGCCCACATGAGATTAATTTCCAAGCTATTAAAAAAGAACTTGGTAAGAGGACTACCAAGCCTAACCTTTGTTCAATATTCTCAATGCGAGGAGTGTGCCAAAGGTAAACAAGTCAAAAACTCTTTTAAATCCATAAATGAGGTATCCACTACTAAACCCTTACAACTACTTCATCTTGATATTTTTGGTCCTATGCGTGTTGCCTCACTAGGAGGTAAGCATTATGTTTTTTGTTATAGTTGATGATTTTTCACATTTCACTTGGGTTATTTTTCTTACAAATAAAGATGAATGTTTTGAAAAAATTTCTTTTTGTAAAAAGAGTTGAAAATAAAAAAGATTTGAAAGTTGTAAAAATTCGAAGAGATCATGGTGGTGAATTTCAAAATAAAATTTTTAGTGATTTTTGTGACCATCATGGTATTACACATACGTTTTTTACTCCAAGAACATCACAACAAAATGATGTTGTTGAACGAAAAAATCGTACCATACAAGAGATGATACGTACTAGGACTATGCTTTTGATTTGCCAAAATATTTTTGGGCTGAAACCGTCAACACGGCTTGCTATGTTTTAAATCATGTTTTAATTAGACCTATTTTCAAGAAAACACCTTATGAACTTTATTTTGGCAAAACTCTAAATATTAGCTATTTTCGGATTTTTGGTTGCAAATATTTTATTTTGAACACAAAAGATCACCATGACAAATTTAATTCAAAGATAGATATAGGGATATTTTTGGTATGCATCAAGGAGTAAGGCTTATAGAGTTTTCAACAAACGAACACTCGTTATTAAAGAATCTATAAACGTTACCTTTGATGATGAAATTAATGATGGTTTACAAGATGTTGTGCCTAGGGATGATGATGATGATATTGATGGAGGATTGAAACTTTTGTAAATAAATGACAATCCCTCAATGGTTGCACTAAAGGATGGAGAAGGAGGACTTGAACCTAATCAAGAAGAACTTCCAAAGCATGAAAGTTTGCACCGGATCATCCTAAGGAGCAAATTATCGGAAGCCCATCAAAAGGAGTTTTGACTTGCTCAAAAGCTATGAGCGAGTGTGGTAATGTTGCTTTCTTATCCCAAATTGAACCTAAATGTGTTGATGATGCTTTGAATAATGAAATTTGGATTTTAGCTATGCATGATGAATTAAATAATTTTTAAATAAATAATATTTGGAAACTTGTTCCTAGACCTAAAGATTTTCATGTTATTGGAACAAAATAGATTTTTAAAAATAAACTTGATGAATTTGGCATAGTGACTAGAAATAAAGCTCGTTTAGTTATCCAAGGATACAATCGAGGAGGGTATAGATTATGACAAAATTTTTACACCGGTTGCAAGATTGGAGTCAATTGGAATGTTTTTAGCCTTTGCTAGCTTTAAAAATTTTAAATTATTTCAAATGGATGTTAAAAGTATTTTTTTGAATGAGTTTATTAAAGAAGAAGTGTATGTCGAGCAACCCCCCGGTTTTATTGATACACTATTTTCTAATCATATTTACCGGGTACAAAAAGCTTTGAATGGGTTAAAACAAGCTCCTGGAGCTTGGTATGCTCTCCTCTCAAGTTTTCATTGATAATGGTTTTTCAAAAGGAAAAATGGATAACACTCTATTTGTTAGAAAAAGAAAAAATAATTTCATTTTGGTTCAAATTTATGTTGATGATATTATCTTTGGTGCTACTAATGAATCATTGTACAAAATTTTTTTAAAGGTTATGCAAGAGTAATTTGAGATGAGCATGATAGGAGAGTTTACATTCTTTCCAGTCTCCAAGTCAAACAAACCAATGGTGGGATTTTAGTGTCACAAATCAAATACGCTAGAGAGTTGGTCAAAAAATCCGGCATATCAAATTCCAAGCACACACCAACTCCGATGAGCACCTCCATCAAGTTGGACTTGGATGCAAGTGGTGAGAAGGTAGACCAAAAACTCTATCGAGGTATGATAGGTAGTTTACTTTATCTTACCGCTAGTAGACTGGATATTATGTTTAGTGTTTGTGCATGTGCACGCTTTCAAGCATCTCCTAGAAAATCTCATCTAATGCGGTTAAAAAAATTATTAAATATATAAATGGCACTATTGAGCTTGGTTTATTTTATCCAAAAAATACTACTTTTATTCTTTGTGGTTATTGTGATGTCGACTTTGCCGGATGCAAAGTAGACCGCAAGAGTACGAGTGACACATGTCAATTCTTAGGCAATTCACTTGTTTCTTAGTCATCGAAAAAATAAAATTGTGTTGCCTTATCCACTACAGAAGCGGAATCCATTGCCATCGGCTTATATTGTGCATAATTATTATGGATGAAACAAAATTTAGTTGATTTTGATTTACATTTTCATGATACAAAGATTTATTGTGATAATACTAGTGCCATAAATATTTCAAAAAATTCCGTTTTGCATTCTAGAACCAAACATATAAATGTACGACATTATTTTTTACGTGGCCATGTAGAAAGGTAAGATGTCTTTTTGTTTACATTGACACAAAATCATAATTAGCGGACATCTTTACCAAACCCCTTAGTGAAGAAGATTTTTTTTGTTTACATTGACACAAAATCATAATTAGCGGACATCTTTACCAAACCCCTTAGTGAAGAAGATTTTTGTCGTATAAGAAATGAATTAGGCACTTTACCAAACCCCTTAGTGAAGAAGATTTTTGTCGTATAAGAAATGAATTAGGCATGTGTATTCTTTGATTATTTGTTTGACGCCTTTTGCTTGTTTTTGACTTTTTGATTAACATTTTCATATCTAAATATTTTATTATTCGCACTCATTGTCACAACATGTTTTAACACACAAGAATACTTAGAGGAGTGGTTGGGAGAGACCGGGGTCAATTCCTAGAGGAGTGGGTTGGTAGTAAAGCCTAAGGAGAGGTAGTAAAGCCTAACACTTGAGGAATATGACACATGTAGGCCAACACTTAGAGAGCCAACACTTAGAGAAGTATCTTGTGGGTTTTACAACATGTATATCGTTTTTTATTATTACCCTATTTTGATGTTGACAAAGGGGAGAAAAATCTCCAATATTTTGTGCATATGGATAGGGGGAGTGCCTTATAGATAGGGAGAGCAACTATTTATAAGTACTTATTTTATTCATGCTCTTGTATAATAGTAATTTGTCATCATCAAAAAGGGAGAGATTGTTAGGTCTCTTATTTTGATGATGATTTTCAAACACCATTATTGGTGCTAATTACTTGTTGAGTGATATTGTACAGATTATATTTTGTCAAGCAATATAGTGCCACAATTGGAGGTTGGATGGAATATGAGCTATAGTGATGATATCCATGAAGGTGGATGCTAGTTGATGAAGAGAAGCTTTCAAGAGCAATATATATAGAGGAACTTCATCAAATAATATTTGGCAAATATCATCATTTAAGCTTTGTGCGCTATAGTAAGTGATATTTGTATTTTTTACTTTCTCTCTAGATCATAATGTAGGCAAGAATTAACATAGATAACTTTTGAAGCACTTGGGGATCATTCACACACACTTGTGTTTTTAACCATTTTACAAAATAGTAAGTTTTTACAAACAGTAAATGAGATTTCAAAATTTTTTTCTCAAACATGTTTGTTTTCATGTTTATAATCATTCCTCAAAATTTTACTATTTTTAGAGTTTATTTGTTATTTTATTTTGAATTT